TTATTCACTGCTGTTGAGCCACCTGTGTCTGTTTTTTGCTTAAACTACTCAATCAGAAGCTCAAAATATTCCAGAACATTGAAGTGCTGTATGTAGGATTTGAGAAAGTTCAATAAATACATCAGTCTTTAACACAAGGAGTGTTCTTCATTTTCACTAAGCATAATTTATTCAAACACCCATGAGGGCAAATACACAATGAAACCATAATTTTACCTAGACTGTCATAAATTAGGGAAGTAAAGAACTATGTTGCAGTGTGATTTAATACAAATAGTTTTCTCTAATTTAACACTGTATAAAATCAAAGGAAATAACGTTTAGAAGTCAGAGAATACAACATATCTCCAGGAACTAATCAGAGCTTTATCTTGCTGCCATCTTGTGGTGAAGTTCTGTATTTCAACTTTTTAAAATTTCTTTAGTGTTTATCAAACCTATCAATTTCACCAGAAATCTTGAGTCAGAGACAGAGCAGGTATTCTACTAAAAATGAATTGCGCTACACATAGTATCTTAAAATTATATATATATATTTCAAACTCATTTATTTCCTCATCCAGTCACATAAATTACTAAAGCAGGTTATCTTGTGAGCTATGAATACCTAGATGTTTTTCAAAAACTAGTGGCCAAACTAAATCAGAATACAGCAAAATCTACAAATCTATACAACTACAAATGTACAAATAAATCTACCTAAATCTAAGGGCACAGTTTTTAATCACACATTTGTTATTATGCAGTTTCTTGCTGTATAGAAGTATACTCATCAATACAATTAATGAAGTGTAGCAATATCGCTGTAGCCATAATTTAATAAATGTATTAAAGCGAGGAATTTAATACAGGTACATCAGCATCAGGACAATAGCGCTTATCATTGTTACCTCACAGTGCTGGGGCCCTGGATGAATGTACTGGGATGCTATCTGCATGGACCTGACATGTTAGTTGGCTTCTGGGAAAATGGACTCTGGCATGAGCCAGATACACGCCAGATATACAAATACACGCATTTGTATCTGCGTGTGCCCTGTGATCGGTTGGTGTCCTGTCCAGGGTGTATCCTGCCCTGCGCCAGTTGGCAGTACAGATTCCTGGATCGGCTCTGGCTCCCCTGTGACCCTGAATTCAATAAAGTGGTTAGAACATAGACGGATAATAGTCTAAATTAACAAAGAGCTCTAATTGCCAGCAGCCATATCACCCTGCAACTCACAACTGGCAACCCACTGAAGCTAAGCAGGTGTGAGCCTGGTCAGTACCTGGATGGGAGACCTCCTGGGAAA